TAGCGGCGCGATATATGATAACAATATTATGGACCGGCCTGATCCTGCCCGCGATATTACTGCCGTGCTCCTGTATGTATGACTTTGTCACAATCCCACCATTGTAGAGGTATACTCCATGAAATCTATTTCGTTTTCGTCAACGTCAACAGCTTACCGTAACGAGTGCTTTTGATGTATAAAATAAAAAAATAAAATAAAGATAAAATTTTTATTTCAGATTCAAAATCATTTCATGAAAATACGCACTTAAATAAAACACTAGACGTAAACTTGTAGGCTCCATTCGCATCGCACGTGCCACCCGACGAGAAATACCTATATTCTATTCTATATTCGAGAATTAAATGGCGTGATGTTTTAAAACAAATATTAAAATAAAACTTTTGAAGTTTGTTTTTGCAATGGTTCACCAGTTATTTTTGATTTAACATTTTATTTCTTTGTGAAACTATTGTATTACTAAGACAGAACCATTTTACTTTGGGACAAAAACCAAATAGATTTCATGGTGTATGTACGTAAGTATTTTTTATTATGGCATATATCGGGTAAACGAGCAGACGAATCATCTGGTGGTAAGCAATCGGCGTCGCCCATGGACACCTGGAACACCAGAGGCGTTACAAGTGTGTTACCGGCTTTCTGGGGATTAGGAGTTTGAGGATCGTTGGGGATTCAGGGATTGGGGAGATTGGGGAAGGGGAGGGTAATTGGGCCTCCGGTAACCTCACTCACACGACAAAACACAACGCAAGTGTTGCTTCACGTCGGTTTTCTGTGAGGCCGTGGTATCACTCCGGTCGAGCCGGCCCATTAGTGCCGAAGTATGGTTCTCCCACACTTAAGGTACAAAGAAATATGCTCTGGCAGTGCCACATTAAAGACAATGGGAAACTGTCGTATGCTAGGTAACTTTTGCTAATAAAATGATTCAGTTGAATAAAATTACATCATTCAACAAATAAATAATACCTACAGCTAATTTAGCAAGTTACAATGAATCAAACTGAAAGTTTTAATTAACATTTCTTCAATATTTCAATGCGAACGATAACACTTCCAAAGTAGTCAATTTGAAATTTCACAAGATTTCAAACTTTTCAGTCGAATTAAGCATTGTGAGTATTGTAATGCGAAGCTATTTACTTTCAAGTGAACTCCTACAAATATGTTCGTGAATGAAAATAGACAGCACACATGATTGTGTAACGTGGCTGTCCGAATATAATCCTTACTGCTCTTACATAAAGCTTAATGAACGTTGTACTATTTGCGTTATACAAACGCAAATTATGTTTATCTAATACCTCATGGTATTTTTTCATTGTAATCATTTACTTTTTCCACGACAGGCTACAGAAGTATTTATGATTAGTAAATAATTAAATAGACCGCGAGTGTTTGCTCGCTACTTATCGTTACGACAGGAACTGTAGCCACTCACGTTATCTCCGCGTTTTGTTCGAGATAAACAGAATTAGCACTGTTTACATTTTATTTCCACCAACAAATGATGATGCAGGCTATTTGTTTGCCTAACATTAATTTACTTTTATCTTTCAAACCCATATCTGGGCTCAAATGTTGTAAAACTGGAATTAGAGGGGATGCTTTGACCTCACACACACATTTAAACATTTTATTTGTTAGTCTGTTGCCTAAGGTCACGCTATGTCATGTCACCAGGCAATACATTACATGTGATGTGACCGCGAGCCATCACACTCGATGATCTAATACACCGGGTGTAAGTACGTACGCTGAAACTGAAGTGATACAGGAACACATAGATAGCGGAGTGAACTCCGGCAATCAATTACACAAGTTTAATATAAATTCGATAATCGTCTGGCTGAATATTGTCGCAATGCAGTTATAACAAGCCGGTATAGTCGGCCGGCGGCCGCGCCGAACTTAATCCTTATTAATTTAGTCAATTTGGAAACTTCCTGCTTCGAGAAACTCGATAACATTATACTGTTGGAAAAACACGATTGTGTTACTGAAAGCTTTTATAGGCCAGTTAATGTTCAGTGGGTCACGTTAGTTAGCGCGCCACGCACGACGCCCGCACGACACGCGCGCGGCACCCGCACGATATCATTACGGACAGAAACACATAGAATTATGTTCACGTAACGGTGCGACCGGGTAGAACTCGCTCACCAATCACTCAGTCAATCACTTATTTATTAACTATGTTACTGACGCTAACCTATTACCTTATAGTAGTTAGCACGACTTGGAATACTGAGAAGTTTTAACCAAAAATTTCCACATTATTTATTCACTTTCAGTGCAACAAAACAATGTGCAAACTCGGTATGGAATTTTTGTCAATTCACCTATACGAAACAATGGTAAACGAAAAGCGACTATATAAGTTAACGGTTATTAGGTTTACTTTCCTTTTTAGATGTATCGTGTTAATTAAATGGTACAATGAGACTGTCATGTATTGTTTATAAAAGTCCTTAAATAAATAAAGATTATAAAAAAGTAACCTGTATTTCAATTAGACCTACTTCACGTATTTTGTATACGTAACCTCTAAATAAATCAATTAACGCAATCATTTAGAGTACCAGCACTAGAACTTACCCTTGACCTTTCCCGAAGACCAACTCAAAAGGTTTTACTACGTGAAATGTGGTTGGTTGTAGAACGTGACGCTCATGGCATCCGGCGCACGTCGGTACACTCCACTGTGTGCGCCGGAAATTATGAGGGAAATCGGGGTAAGCAGGATATTGATGGCGCAATCACTACACACATGCAACATGCAACCATGTCGTGTGATGTGATATAAGTCGAATGAGAAGGTAATAGCTTTCATATTACTACTTATTGAATATTTTTTTTAATTTTTATGATTGAGTTGGGCAGTTTATAGACTAGTCTGATTGACAATTTATAGATCTGTTCTGTACAATTATTTACTTACTAGCTTTTGCCTGCGACTTCGTCCGCGTGGAATAGTGACTTCCGGCAGAAAAGTATAGATAGCTTTGCCCTCGACTCCGTCAGCGTGTTACTCCTTGTGTATTAAGTTAATGAATGGAGTAACTTCTCCCGTTTTCCCAATATTTCCCTTCACTGCTCTGCTCCTATTGATCGTAGCATAATGAAAAGTATACTATAACCTGCCCAAGAGTATGAAGAATAATTGTGCCAAATTTCGTTAAAATCCGTCGAGTAGTTTTTGTTTCCATAACGAACATACAGACAGACAGACAGACAGACAAAAATTTTACTGATTGCATTTTTGGCATCAGTAGCGATCCCTAACCACCCCTTGATAGTTATTTTTTAAATATATTTTATGTACAGAATTGACCTCTCTACAGATTTATTATAAGTATAGATGTAACTACTTGACAATGATTACGCTCTACGCGTCAAACGGCGCCAACGCGACGAATGCCACGCTGCCAAGTTTTGGAAAATGTTATTAGATATTGGATACGTAAAGACAAACTATAGCAATATCTATTAAATGGCACACCACACAGAACATAATAAAAGGATCCGCATAAAAGTGTTACAACTTATTTTAGACAAAAAATTAAAAAGGTGAACTGACATCAAGATAGATTATTAAATCAAGGGATATCGCTATGAATATGTACTCAGCACTATTATTTGATGTTTTATTTCTGCAACGTTAATTTCTATACATTGCTATCAGTGCAAATAAACTGATAATATAATATATATTATCATATACAAATAAACATTGTTTTATTTCGTGACAGTTCGCTTCCAATGTTTACTGTATCAGCAGTTCACGTGTTCTAATCATTTACATAATTTCTCTGAGGTCATCAGGACATCTTTCGCAACAATTACATGACGATGCCACATGTCATGTTTAGCTTTACTACTTAAGACAGTCCCCTCATTTATAAAGCTAGAATCCCTAGGACAAATGAACCCGGTAACAAGTCAAACGGATGTAAAGTGAGGATCAATAGTAGTCCAGTACTAGAAAGCACTCGGCAGGAGCACTTAGCAGACATTTAATCTGTATTTCTTGCAGTAGCTACTCGCTCGCTACTCGCCCACTACTTGCCCTCCACTCGCCCGCTACTCGCCTGTGTACCGACCATTTATTTTCGTAACTATCTAACGATAGACTCCCCTGTAATCTACTCCAGCATTTACTAAGTACGCTTTTAGTCTTAATCAAACGAACCTTAGTGTTTTATTCATCACTAGGTCACGAGTTCGATACCCCCTTTTTTGCGCTGTTCCTTATTTAACTGGCAATCCTTGAGATTATGTAGGTAAGTGTAGATTGAAGTGAGATTGAAGTGTAGGGTGATGAAAAATGGTATTATATTAAGAAATCTGGAATGGTAACATGCAAGACACCATGAGCTTACAATAAATGTTGACCAAACAAAACCAGATAAGGCAAACATTATCATACATATCACAACAATGTAAACAGCTGAGAGCTATTATTTGACTTCTATTTTAAGAGACCATGTAGCTATACATATATGGTGTGTAATCGTTTATTTATTGTGTCCACTTTATTGGCCATTACAGGAATATATTTTTTCCAGATGTGACAGCACAGTCTGTGTTATATTATAGTGTTTATTACAGTGGTGTTTATTTCCTCGGCACTGGAAGAATACAAATAGTTTAGCCCTTTATAATAATGGCTTTTAACCGGGATTGATCAATGTGCTAATACACTGGAATGACCTTCATTTTATGCATTGCTTATCCTAATGTAACCTTAGAAACAAAAACGGAAGATTACGAAAATCAATGTTTATTTATTTTTTCTTGATCCTTCTTATCTTTTGCTACATGGTTAAGATAAATAAATAAATAGTGTATAGTAGTTAGTTTGCAAACATCATGTGAATCACTGAGTGCTACTCCATTTTGACAAGTTCATGATGCAAAATCAACAAGACATTATCTTAAATTATCTCCACAACTTTGATATCACGCGGCTTCAGGAATATGATTTGTAAGAGTGGTACACGAGTATATTAAAGCATTTCTAACACAGCTTTAAAAACGCGAGCATCTCTGTAATTACATGAATTATTGAAACATAAAAAAAATCTTCGCTAAAATGACTTCTTCACAATCTAAGGGACATACAAGAGTGCAATGGGCGATTACAATATTGTGTAAGTTCTTCGTTAGTTGGATACATCGACCTACAACTCAGTAATTTCGCTTACATTCTTTCCCCGTAAACTGATCCAAAGTATATTAGAATGACTAGGTTTCCTTCTGTGATTAAATTAAGTGGATAAATGTTTCGGTAATTGCTTATTACAATAACGTGCTTATTACAGTGTTGTGGTTTTAGGCAACTTGACGGTATTCACATACGGTCTCCAGTGCGGTTGGATGTCACCTGCCACAGTGCTGCTGCAGTCACCAGACTCCCCCACTGGCAGGCCACTGTCCGCCAGTGAAGTGTCATGGGTCGCCAGCTCAGCGTCCCTGGCAGGAGTGCTCGGTGCCTTCGTATTTATCAAAACTGTTGATCGGTTTGGCAGGAAAATGGGGATCTTGGTTATGAGTGTTCTACAAACGGTAAGTGGTGTTTTAGATGTAATATGTATATCCTTCAAAACGAATGTCTTTCACAGACAATAAATTTTGTTTTAGACAGAATATTCCATAGAACACAGTTTTAAGGTTCCATTATGTATCCTGTTTTTTTTTTCTCTTACTCGAGTTAATATATTTATTTACCTCCATGAAGCATTTTCTTAAGTGACTTCTTATTTTCCAGTTGGTCTGGGTAATGAAGTTAGTGCCTGCCAGTACCACGACCCTGATCACCGCCCGAGTGTTTAGTGGTATGGCAGGAGCTGGCTGCTTCCACGTAGTACCCATGTATGTGAAGGAGATTGCCCAGGACAGCATCAGAGGCTCACTGTCATCTGTCGCTGCCTTAGCTCAAAGTATAGGAATTCTAATCATGTTTCTAATGGGAGGGTTTCTAGACTATTACACGGTGTTATGGATTGTGGTCGGTCTCCCGATAATAACGCTCGCAATGTGCCTTAAGGCTCCAGAATCACCTTCCTACTTAGTAAAAGTGGGAAAGACTGAGGTAAGTTTAGATCGTAAGTATTTGTATTCTTCTCCATGCCATCCCTAACAATCTTCAATAATAAAAGTTATTTGAAAATATTCCTTATTTATAGGAAGCTACGCGAGTTCTTGCATTCTTAAGAGGTCTCGATGTTGAAGATAAAGAAATTCAGAATGAGGTCGAAACTCTCAAGCGGGAAGATGAATATTATAAGTCCATACCTAATATTTCAATGGCTACAGTTTGTGAGTTATACTTTTAATATTACATATTAAAACTACAGATATTAAATCTGACAGATTTTAGAGATTTGCTAATTATTTTACAGTTAAAACTAAACCCTGGCGAAAGGCATTTATCATCATGATCTTGGTGATCCTGGTCCATGCTTCTAATGGAAGTTTCTCTGTGCTCAACTACACTGCGACCCTACTGCAGGACTCGGGCATGAATATCAGTCCGGAACTACAGTCACTCAGCATTCCTATATTTATGACACTAGGATCCATCATCACAATAACTACTATAGACAAGCTGGGAAGAAAGGTAAGCATAAGTAAATAGTTCCAATTTACTAAAACTGTCAAAAGTAAAAGCAAATATTAAGATATCCCTTGCAAAAATACTTAGACTTTATAAAACTTTATGTTTCTATCCTCAGTTGATCTTGGGATCATCTTTTGCCGCCACAGCAGTCGCCTTCGCATGCATGGCCATCTCCTCAGTGCTGAAGATGTACGGATGGATGGCTCCTGCCTGGATCAACGTGACCATGATGATGGTGCTGATATGCTGCTACGGTGGTGGCGTCTGCCCCCTGCCCTTTATTATCATGGCTGAGATATTTAATTTCCAAGTAAGTTGAAACTAATTTTATTTTAATTAGTAAAGGGGGAATGAATCCTATATTTAGTTAGTTCTTGTTAACTGTTCTCGCTAGTTGATAGCCGCAAGCTTTGTTGCTTTCGAAAATTGTCAATAGCCTGATAATGAACACTTTTCACTTTCACTACTATCGGAATAACGTAGCTGATAAACTGGAGGACTGGTGCAGATGAATTGTGCAGTTGCAAATAGGTAAGAATATAATTTCTTTACAGATCCGTGCCAAGCTGATGGGTTACCTTGTGATGCTGGCGTGGTTCACCAGTTTCATTCAGCTGGTTGTGTTCAGTGAGCTGACGAACAGGTTCGGGGCACACGTCAGCTTCTACATGTTTGTTGTCATAAACGTGCTGGCGACTGCTCTGGTAATCCTCGTCTTACCGGAGACCAAGGGAAAGAGCATCGAAGAACTGGAGAAAGAACTAACAGAAGGGCGTAGAAAAAAGTGCGTCACCATGTCGTAGTGAGGAAATCGTGGCTGTAAGCAATAGAAATGACAATGTAAATAGTTTTGGTACGTACTCTGAAATTGACGACGGAAAATAAAATGGTGCACTTGGATATGAATTGGAGCTCTAAGATGACCAGTCGTCTGAAAATGATGTTTTATGGAAATCATATGGTATTGCAAGTTTCTAATACCTACATAGTATGATATGTCGACTTCAATAGTGTGAACCCGATACCGCAGCGGTGTAGCTTCGGTACTGCGGCTCATCATCCGCGCTAAGTACCTCAATGTGCTCGTTAAACTGTCCAAACTTGTGAACAGATTTGTCTTCCACTTTGATCGATCGAGATTGTTCCCTTTTTAACAAGTTATAACACATTATGAGAGTGAATTGGTGGCGATTAATAATCGAGGCGTTAAAGTTAAAATTAGTTCTAAAGGAATCACTTGTCTATTGTTAATATGATAAATGTAATTTGTCTAGTTTGTTGTCCCATTTATACATCTCAAAATTTAAATTATAACTTTTTAATAAATTCTCACAAATAGAGGCAGATGTAGCCACATATTAAGAACGAAAACAAAAATTAAGTCTCAAAATGTTCACCTTCGGATGATGATAAACATTTTATTAAATAAAAAATCATAAAATTGACGTAATTTTTATTATTTTAACCTTAGAAAATTGCTCATTATATCGTTATTATTTGGTTTTCCATTAACAACTCATGTTTACGAATTATTTATTTTTATAATAAATCAGGTAACAATAGACACGTTCCATTGTTATACAGTCTTTCTCAGTGAAACGAAATACTTTCGAAACATAAATAATTGTTTGTTGTAATAAAAGAATGGATTCAATCAGTAGACACGAGACATTGTAATGTATGATAATGTGTAGGAAACAGTCTGTTGATAATAATGCGGAGAAATAAAGTGTTCGTAGAGCGGCGATAAATTCGGGGCGGGCGGCCGCGGGCGGGCCGCGGGCGAGCCGGCCCGGGCCGGACATAAATCACGGCACAAAAATGAGGCCTTGGCAATTTTGGCCTAAGTGTGTATTGTCAAATATGCTATTTATTATTCTCGTTACGGCACAACATGGCCACTTAGTTTTTGAGTCCGCTGTTGGGTCTTGTAAACTGAGCATTTTATCACTTGTTTATGTCACGTTTTTAAATTATGGCCCACAGGATAGGATTACTTAATAAACCTTGTCTAATATTGTTTCCCTTCACAATATTTTAAAAAGATACAAGAGTTTTTTGTGTGTATATCTCGAGACGGAACAAGCTGCGAGCTCTGTCTCTACGAGTATCGTGTCCCATTGGAGTGCTTGCTGCCTGCGGCACGTTTACTTAAATTTTCTATTTTTCCTGAAAGTATCTTGGTCTAATTAATTATAAGTACTTATTTTCCGCCGGTACATTAATCAGTAAATAACCGTATTTTTTTGCAGCACTTGACTAGAAAGTTCTACGTTATAGGTACTGTGGTTTATAAGTATAGATGTACAATATAATGTAATGGGGATCGATGATATCGTTCAAATATTTGATATTCGGTATTATATCCGTGCCGCGCAGAGCCGCTGATCAAAGACGATACAATATGAGAATGCGGCGGGCAGCGGCCATGTTTGCGACTCACAGATACTCGTTGTCGCGGCGCGGCGCGTGGCGACCCACTTACTGACGAACATCTTTACAAAGAATAGATTTCCCTTTTTATTACAACGCAGTCCATTTGAAGAATTATATGTATACCTGAGTAATATTATAGACCTTTTTCCATAATTTCAATTAGAGAATGATTGGAGTACAATATTGCATAAAACTTATAAGTCACTAAAAGTTAGTATTCTACATAATAATTTTTTTTAATAACGTTTGGAATTTTAGAAACATATCAGTGCTATATTAAATCACATGTTTCAATGCAGTTCATGGCATTTTATAACCGAAAAATACTTCAAACGAATTTATTTCGATTTCCTTTTACTTCTTAAGTACGTCCCGTCTCCTACCGGAATGTCTTTTCATACGATTTCACCCAGATTCAATCATGTCAAATTGACTAACGAGATGGATCGCTAAAAATATATTTCAAATTCAGCTTCAAATTATGGTAACTCAATTTGTTTATACAGTCCAGTTAAGTGACTTTACCTCTCCGTAAATTGGCTTTGATTGAACTTCTTGATGAAGTAACTTTGTATTTAAATTCGAAGTGAACCATTTACAATACGCACAAAGTTCTACTTACTAATTTCTTCCTCATGAACACAAATAAAATTCTCGGAAGCAACTGCTAAGGGACAATCAGAAAAATGATTGTGTGAGGAATACAGACTCGTCACCAAAAGCCCCCAGCCTTCCTATCTCAATGGTTGTGGGGCAATTTTCCATGTAAAAGTGCTTGACGTGCTCCGAATTGAATGGAAAGCCAAAAGGTATAAGTGGCCACGTCTGCAATACATACGCTTGCCAACATTTTTGTGATTCTCCCAGTGATGTACATCACGAGTGCTTATCTTATATTAGAGGAATTTTATTGTCAACGAATGTCTTGTGGTAGAGAATAATGAAACTTATAAGAACGTTAACTGTTCCGTGTGTGACTTCGAGCCGATACATAGGATAGCTTACTAAATAAGAAAACCCATCCTACAGTCGGGTGATAACTTTCGGAGTGTTATTCAAATAATAATGATACAACAATCGGTAGTTCTAAGCGAAAACATATGTAGCAACGCAAATCAATTTACGTAACAACGCCAAAGTGCCTCTGCTAGGTATAAAGGAGAAAATTAAATAAAAGAGGAGACATCTATAACGTTATCATTATTTTTTGTAAACCGGCTACGTGCGCTCTTTCCATTTCATTTCTCTGATATATTTTCGGTGAAACCCAAAACTTTATCCATAATGGCAGATAGCTGGCGTCACGTTCTGCGTGTAACGTACAAAAAGTCGACTGCGTAGGAGTTCCGCAGCGTCTGCCTTATAAGTTGTGTTTAATGGGAATTAGCATAACGACATCATGTCTGTCATTACATATCGAGGAGCGTTTGAAAAGTTCGATATAATGTCATGTGTGCTGTGAACCCTAAATGTTGGTGAGTAAAGTAGGAAATTAATAACAATCGTAGAAACTTTAAGAGTATAGATATAGCTTTCGTTTTATTGGGATCTACTTATATGGAGTATGTATGTTTGATTGAAACTCCAAAATATATTGAAATTCATGGTGATACAAGAATTTTTGTGTGGGTACTTAAGTTCACGGTCAAGGCATTGCCGTCTTAAAATTGTATTTCGATAAAATATTGTAAGTCATCATTACGGTATCGGACACAGGCCCATTGTTAGGACCCTGAGCGAAAAATAAAGGGGACTGATTCTTAAAAAATGCAAAAATATTTTTCTGCTTAGTCATCAGTAGGGTTGCCAAAAGAAATTCTTTAAAGAGCTTAAAATAATTCCATTGAAGGGCTCCGACAATAGATAAATTGGGGTCGGTGCAACCCCACAAGACAATTGCTTCCCGTTTTAAGTACTTACTGAATCATTAAGGTAATTGAGAAAAACGAAGACGAAAATAAAATAATTATCTCATTAAATATTAATAGGAAAATGAATGGACAAATAAATTTAATAGACAAACATTATTCATAAAAAGGAGTGTTTAAATTCACGATGAATGTAATGCAAGATATTTTGTTTCCACGTTGCCACTCTAACAAACGTTTGCAATATTTGCAGTACAATTTATGGCACAATATATATTGATGTCCAATGCCAGTCGTCCACTGTCATATTGTGCAGATAAGTACGAGAGCTGAGGGTGAGCAGCGACGCGTGCCGGAGAACCAATTAAAAATAAATTAAAAGTCACACAAATCTCCGTGACCTCTCCGACTCTACAATAAATTGTTATAACACTGAGGAAGCTTTTTACGTAAATAAATAATGGTAATTACAAGATTAAAACGAAACAATTACCCTACTTGACGTTAAAACATGGGACGTGTCATACAAATGTTATCGATGTCAGTGGTCCTTATAAAGCTAGTGGGCGATTCAATAAATCCTTAGCTTCTTGCTCTGTCATGGAGTGGAAGTCGAGAATGAAACGTGTCGGCCTTCACACACGTCCGCACCCTTCCGATGTTATCACTGAACTGACTGTGATAGATCGATCCAACATAAGTCCGCGTCATCCATCCAATCTGAATACTGATGAGCCACATAATATACGCGATTGATCAATGCTAATGCAATTGCACAACAGTATTACTTTTGAATTAATTCCTTGAACATGGAATAGAGATAACAACATACCTAAGTCTTATAACGTGGTTTAACTACTTAAGTCGAAGAAGTCTACGAATTATTTCTAATTCCAAATATTTAGTTTTTCATTTCCACGAAGGAAGTTTGTACCTAGTAGTTACTAACAAATCTATAACTATTACCAAACATTAGTCCTTATTCCATGAACAAAAAATGTAATTTTGAAATTCCAACTTTAAAATGAAATGTTCATACAATATTTCAGTCCAAGTATTTATTAATTCAATTTTATGGAAGCCACGAAGCGAATATTTATATTTCCACAACTCTGGAAGATCGTCATCGAACGGATTCTGTTAAATATTTAAAGTACACAGGCGCTCTTCTGACGTACATAGGTATATCCGTACTTCCTGAATCAAAATTAACGGAGGCTTTGTAATATTACATCTAAAATTTGCATGTTCGTGTTGTTGAATTAAATTATATCACAGCTCGTGTTCACAGGATGGAGATGGTTCACTTTTTAACTGTTTCTTTTTGTCATATTTAATAGCGATTCAGTTTATTGATGAATATCGAACACAATTTAACACTAAGAATTTATAAAATCACAAAATGATGTGCGAATCCAACCTGAGACCTAATCTTGCTCAACAACCATTCGACCAAAGAAGATTTTTTGTTTAAATACAATCTTGAAATAAAAACGAAAGTACTCTCCCGTCCAATTATTTTCAGTTTCATTACAGTCGTGACCGCGAGCGCTGGAAAGTATTTAAAGCGCGGAAAATGTTTTAACATTATTATTACTTTCCGTAAAAAGATTTACCGTCACTCGCTTGTAACTTTAGTATCGACGCAGTACTTCATTTTATCTTTTATATATACTTCATTCATTTAGAAATAAATACAAATCATTTGGAAAGACTCACATCACATTCGTACTTGCTACATTTTGAAGTCGCTATGCATGAGGAGCAGGCAATTCCCACTACTGTTAAAGAGGTTATTAACAATAACGTGAACACTGGGTGACATTTGATATCCTGTTTTGTATTCCATGAACATATCAAATGATAAAATAGATAATATTCTCATCTATGCATTACCAGTGTGAACTACGCCTGAAAGTCATCGGAATCAGGCTTCGAATTAATTCTACCGGCCTTCAATAAAAGCTTCGTTAAATCGTAACAAAGATTCTCCGTGTTAGTCTGAAGCTGAACATTAAATTGTGACTCGAGAACTTTTTCAAATTAAAACATACTTCACTGCTTATACTTATTCTTTATACTTTCTTTTAAACGTCCAAAGACAACTCATTAACTGTACTCGCTGAGGGCTATACTTTATC